GATGAGGTAACGAACTCACAAGAGAACATATGAATTGCCTCAGATGGAAGAAAGTGAAAGTATAACAGATTTCTTCACTAGAGTTACAAAAGTGGTGAATCAAATTAAGGTATGTGGAGAAGTGTTGACATCAAGATCAGTTGTTGCAAAGATCTTGAGGTTGCTGGCTCCAAAGTTCGACCATGTGGTAGTAGCCATAGAAGAGTCGGAAGACTTGTCAGTATTGACGAAGGAAGAACTTCAAGGGACGCTTGAGTCTCATGAATAAAGAATGGCTGAGAGAGTTGCATGAAAGTCAAAGAGTAATATGACTTTGCAAACGCAGTCAGAAAAGGAAAGGAAATGCAAAGGAAGCAGGAATGGAAACAAAGGTAGAAGAGGCTACAACAATTCGACTGGTCGAAATCAACAAGAAGGAAACTGGTCGAATCAGAGACAACCCTGGAACCAAGGCAACTAAAGAGGTGGTGCTACAGGTAGAGGAAGAAGTGGTGGACGAAAACAAAAGTCACATTCAGTGTTTCAATTGTCAGAAGTATGGTCACTATTTTAGTGAATGCCGAGAAAATAAAAGGAATGAAGAAACTGATGCAAAGATGGCGAAAAATGAAGAAGAAGAGATGTTGCTAATGGTCACAACAAGAGATGAAAAGGGATTCCAGGACCAGTGGTACTTGGACTCAGGTTGCTCATACCACATGACTAGAATAAAAGATTGGTTTGTCAACATGAAGCCCTCGTCGAAAAACATGGTGAAATTTGCAAATGACAATACTCTAGCAGCTGAATGTATTGGTGATGTTTTGATTATGAGGAAAGATAGCAAGAGGTCAACAATTTCCAATGTGTTATTCATACCTGGTATGAAGAGTAATTTGCTCAGTATAGGGCATATAGTTGAAAAAAACTACAAGGTGTCGATTAAAGACAAGATGATGAGAGTTCTTGACGCGGATGGTAGGTTGATCTTGAAGGCTCCAATGTCTCAGAATAGGACCTTCAAGATTGAATTCAATGTGATGGAGCACAAGTGCCTAACAACTGCAGCCAGCAGAGATGAATTGTTATGGCATTTTTGACTAGGTCATCTTAACTTCATTGACATCAGAGATCTAAAGAGGAGAAATATGGCTGGAGGATTACCTAAAATCGACATTCTAAGTGAAGTTTGTGAAGAGTGTGTTCAGTCGAAACAACACAAGAATAGCTTCAGCAAGAATGCTGAAAGAAAGTCGAAGGTAATTCTAGAAGTCATATACTCTGATGTATATGGTCCAATCCAGGTGGATTCGATTGTAGGCAACAAATACTTTGTCACGTTCATAGATGATTACAGTGTAAAGTTGTGGACTTACCTCATCAAGAAGAAAAGTGATGTGATCGAGGTATTTTCCATAATCAAATCTATGGTCGAAAGACAAATTGGTCGAAAGCTGAAAATTCTGAGGACTGGTGGTGGTGGAGAGTATGTGTCAAAAGAGTTCGACGCGTTATGTGAAAAAGAAGGGATTATGCATGAGGTAGTGCCACCCTACACTCCATAGCAAAATGGAATTGTAGAAAGAAAGAACAGAACCATCATGAATATGGTGAGGAGTATGTTGAATGGAAAGCATTTACCCAGAGAATTATGGGGAAAAGCAGTTTCGACAGTAAAATACATATTAAACAGATGTCCGACGAAGAAGCTTGAAAGAATCACACCAAAAGAATGTTGGTCTGGTGTCAAGCCTAGCCTCAGTCACTTGAAGATGTTTGGATCTATAACACATAGACATGTACCAGATCAGTTGAGAAGGAAGCTTGATGACAAGTCGAATCAGATGATCTTGGTAGGATATCATTCGACTGGAGGTTACAAGTTGTTCGACCCAGTGAATAAGCAGGTAGTGATCAGCAGAGACGTGATTATAGATGAGCTTAAAGAATGGGATTGGACTGAGAATGTCAATAAGGATTTAGTGAGAATCTCTTGTAAAGAACCAGCCACTGAAGTCAAAAGAGAAGTTCGATAGGAACAAGTCAAAAATAAAGCTAGCCCAAGCAGACCTCGACGAACAAGACACATGCCTCCAAGATTGCAAGAATGTTTGCTTACATCAGTTGATATGGTCGATGAGGAAGGTGAGTTGGTACGCTATGATTTCTATGCAGATGTCAAACTAGTCAATGTAGTTGAGGCATTGAAAGATTTGGAGTGGGTGAAAGAAATGAATGAGGAGTTAGACTCCATCGAAGTCAACAAACACCTAGTCACTTGTCAATTTTCCTCAATGTAAGAAGGAAATTTATGTGAAGTGGGTTTACAAGGTGCATGTGAATCCTAAAGGAGATGTAACTCAACACAATGCGAGACTTATGGCGAAGGGATTTCTTCAGAAGGAAGGAATCGACTTCGATGAAGTTTTTGTACCTGTTGCTAGGGTTGAAACAATCAGGTTGGTTGTTGGTCTAGCAAATATGAACAATTGGAACACATGTCAGATGGACGTGAAGTGTGCATTCCTTAATGGCCCCTTAGACGAAGAAGTTTATGTTGCACAACCAGCCGAGTTTGTGAAACGAGGTGAAGAAAGAAAGGTGTACAGACTGCATAAAGTCATGTATGGACTTAAGCAAGCTCCAAGAGCTTGGAATAAGAAAATCGATAGTTTCTTAAGGGAGAAAGAATTTGTGAAGTGTACGAATGATCATGGAGTATATGTGGGAGAAACAATAGTGAATTGCTTATACTATGTCTTTATGTCGATGACATGCTGATAATAGGAAGTTGAAAGAAGGAGATCGAAGATTTCAAACATAACCTAAGTGACGAGTTTGAAATGTCAGACTTAGGAAACCTTTCATATTTCCTTGGCATCAAATTCTACAAGAGTAGTAGAGGTTTTGATGATGCACCAAAGAAGATATGCAGGCAAAATACTCAAGAGATTTGAGATGCAAGATTGCAACCCAACTTCGACTCCAGCCGAGACCAGAGTGTAACTGTCGAAGGATTCAGATGAAAGTGATGTCGAACCAACCCAATATAGAAGACTTATTGGGTCACTTCCGTATCTTTGTCACACAAGGCCTGACTTAGAATACACTGTGGGTATGGTAAGTATATTCATGCATAAGCCAAAGGTATCACACCTAGCAGCGGCGAAAAGGATACTGAGGTATCTGAAAGGGACTCTCGACTATGACATTTTGTGTCCTGCAGCTGATGAAGGAAAAGAATGCAAGTTAGTGGGATACACCGACTCTAGTTGGTGTAGTGATGTTGAGGATAGAAAATCCACAGATGGCTATGTGTTTATGTTAGGTGGTGCACCAGTTGCTTGGAGTTTGAGAAAGGAGTCAGTAGCGACATTGTCATCATGCGAAGTAGAATATATAGTTGTTTCTCTTTGTGCATGTCAAGCAACATGGATGGTGAACCTAGTCAAAGAGATCATAGCGAAGAGTCATAGAGCAATTAACATGAAGATCGACAACATGTCAGCTATCAACTTGGCGAAGAATCCAATAGCACACAGTTGAAGCAAGCATTTCAAAATGAGGTTTCATTATTTTCGAGAACAAGTAGTAGAAGGGAAGATGAATTTGGAACACTGCAGAACTCACAATCAGATTGCAGACATCATGACGAATGGAGTGTCAGTCAAAGTGTTTAGAAGGTTAAGGTTTATGATCAATGTAGATAGCTTAGACACAATGAATTAAGTGGTGTGTTGAGTTTGTAATTCCTTGTGTCGAAGTAGTGTAGCTCGACAGAAACAATGATTAATCAAATTAGTCTAATGTGTTAGTGTGTCGAAGAGCTTAGTTTGTCGAAGTGTCGAAGCAGGTTGTTTCACACAGGATTTCGACTTAGGCCTATTTTAATAATGTGAGCTATTTAGGGTTTTATAGTTTTGGGCTTTGCCTTGGGTGCAAGCAAACCTAAATCTATTAAATAGGGAGAAACTCTTATTTTGTAATAAGAACTCATCATATTTTGTAATTCACAGTTTGCAGTTGCAAGTGAAATAACAGATTTTTCACAGGTTGTGGACAGAGAGTTCTCTGCAAAAAATTGTTTATCTTCTTCTTCTCCATCATTTACTTTCTTTCTTTCTCTCTTTTCTGACCCTTTCTTTCATTGTCGTTGCGTGAGTGAGAATAATCTTGAGATCAAAATTGATCAAGTGAAATTCTCTATAAATTATAGTTGAATTTTTAACATTATTGATGAATAATAACTATTATATCGATGATAAAAAAAATGGTTTACTAATTTTTCTTCATAAATGCAAGTTTTTGTTTTAGAAATACCTTTTTTCTTTCTAAAACTACCTTGTCAACAGTTACTATAGTATTAATTAAAAATTAAACCTACCTGATCTACTCATTAAATTGAATTGAACATCTTAGAAAATTTATATATGTACATATATAATGAATGCGCTGGATACCCTTGATTAATATTTGGCAACAAATGAAAAATATGAATATTTATATGTCATATTTATATAATATGTGGTCTCTTTCTCTTTCTGTTAGGGTAAGGTATCCAAAGCGTTCTCTGTCTCTCCCTTTTACTTTTGTCTTTCCTTTGTGTTGTGTCTTTATGAACGGTCCTACTTACAGATTCAATCATCCCATTCCCATCCATCGATCCTGTTTTTCTTTTTCACTTTCACCACACTAAACGTGTTCTACTGCACCGGGTCCCTAATACTGTGAAACTCCATTAATGTAGTCACGCAATTTTAACCAGTTAAGAAGAGGACACAAACTCCAACTTAAATTCTCTTTCATATTTTGTCGTCTTCTGTTTTTCCTTTTTCCATTTCTATAATCGTATTGCAAAAACAAAGTACTCCAAAAGCAACGTTGACTCATACTCAGCAACAACTTGCAACCTATCACTTCCAACAACTAAAGAACCAAACACATTCTCATAATTCATTCATCAAATTCCCATTAACAAATGTAACAAACCCCAAACCGTTCATTTCTTCAACAGCACCAAAATGGAAAATCGTCAAAGAATAACACTCTTTGATCAAATGACATCATCCAGTAACACAACAAGCAACACTCGAAGCTCACTTGCAACGTTAATTCAAAACGACGCCGTTTTCGCTATTCAAAAAACCCGAAACCAAACTCTCTTGGACATTATACGAGAAAGCGAACCCAACAACGTTGTTGAAAACAGCAATAATACAAAAGATCGAAAATCGTGGAAAGCTTTTAAGGAATTACTTCGTCTAAAGCGGCGTAACTCGGACGAGTCAACTCTACAACAAGAACAACAACCACAACAAAACGATGTCGTTCGGGAAGATCTGAACAATTCGGATCCGGTCGAATTGCCTCCCGGCGGCGAATCCTCCGATGAGGAAATTAACGTTAATAGCTCGGAGACGGTGCAGGTTAGTATGTCGCTGATGGATTTGTTAGAAGAGAGTGAAATTGATTTGGATCGAATTGATGATGTTGATGACGTGGACGAGAAACGAGAAGAAGAAGGAGAGAATGTTTCGGTGGAACGCAATTGCTGCGTGTGTATGGTGAGGCATAAAGGTGCAGCGTTTATACCGTGTGGACACACGTTTTGCAGGATGTGTTCAAGAGAGCTATGGGTGAGTAGAGGAAATTGTCCTCTTTGCAATAATTTGATTTTGGAAGTTCTTGATATTTTCTAATTCTCTCAATTTTTATTCATTTTTTAATTTTTAGATTTCATTTTTTCCCTGTATTTATCTCTCTAACCCTTTTGAGGTTGGGGTTTAACTTTTCTGGGTTTTTAATTGCTGATTTCAATCAAGTTGGAGATGTTGCATTGCATGTGTAAAATCACTAAATTGGGTATGCCTTCCCTTGTTAATTTGTTAGTATTTATTTGTCAAGGAACATTGATTTTTTTATGAAAAAAAATATTTTAATCTTTTTTTATTTAATTAATGTTAAAAATTATAAATACAAAAATGAGATAAAGTCTCTGACATTGTAAAATAGTTTTAAATTGTCATCTAATAAAAATTTATCAATTAATCATATCACACAAATAACTTAAAAATATTAAGATAACTTCGCAGAATACATGGTGGTGATTGGTTGAACGTACATAACAAAATACTTATTTAACCACTTAACATTTTTTTTAATGTACACTAATTCTACCTTGATCAAGATAAACAGAATTTTGTAAAATTTATTAAACGTATAGTTATTTATACTTCAAACAAAATTATTTAAATGTGCATACAAATGAAAATGAAAGTACAAAGTAAAAGAAATTACATCAAAAAATGTAAAGGTTTTAATGGGATAAGGTTTGCCTCCCAAAATCTCAGGGCGGTTTGGGTGTTAAAGGTCTGGTCATGTTCAACATCTCTTTGTTATCCAAATGGCTTTGGCGATTCATAAGTGATAGCTTTGCAATCTAGCGTGACTTGCTCACTTACAGGTATGGTGATCTGACCTCTAGAATCTGTCTTAAAGTTAAAACCAGACATTCGTCGGCTGAATCGTTATGGTGAAAATATATAATGACAATTGCAGACTCAACTAGTGAAGGTATCTTCTTGGAACATATTTCATGTGGTGTAGGTCCTGGTACAAAAATATCTTTATGAAATTATTGTTGGCCATCAAATAAACCTTTGTGTTTGATATTCCAAGAGATTTATGAACAGGTAGACTGAAAGCAAGCTACAGTAGCAGATTTGGGTGGCTGGGAAGCAGGTAGTTGGAAGTGAAATTTGCAATGCTTACATGGAATTGTCTCTCCTGACTTAGAAGAAATGGTGACAAAATTGAAGGGATTATTGGAGGATTCCAGTCCAGCACAGGAATTAACAGATAAATTCGCTTGGAAAACTGAAAGTTCAAATCAGTTTACTGTTAAATCCGGTTATAACACATTATTCCAGCATTCTGGAAGTGCTCAACTCGAGATTATTCCCAAGACAGTTTTAGACATTCTTTGGCAAATGAAGGTTTCGTTGAAAACACGGGTTTTTGGTTGAGGTTAGTATGGGATAGACGGCCAACAAGAGGAAACTTGGCGGCCAGGGGAATAATCTTGAATTTTCACGATTTAATCTGTGTTTTCTGCTCTATGGACAATGAAGATTTCAATCATCTATTTTGTTCTTACCCAGCTATTGTGTGTTTTTGGAGAAAAACTTTCGAAGTGGATTGGTGTGCCTTGGATAGTGGGTGATAATGTATACGACCATTATTTGGATTGGTTTCTGAAGACAACGAGACACTCGTAAAAAAGAAATGTTTGTTTCATTTGGTTGACGTCATGCTGGATCATTTGGTGGACACGTAACCAAGTTTTGTTTCATGACGTTATAGGAAATCACGTTGACATGGTAGATAAAGTCATTCATATGTGTTGGGCTTGGTTAAATTATAATTCCAATTCCTTAACCAAGTGTAGATTTTATGATTGGTATAAATCTCCACTTGATTTTCTAAAATAGGATTCCTTGATTTCTAAAGGTTTAAGTGTTTTGGTGTGTATATATGTTTAGTTTGTAATGGCATCTGTGTATCCTAATATACCATATCAATATAATCTTGCTTATAAAAAAAAAAGTTGTAAAACATTTTTACATTATTATTCAATATATTATTTTGTTTTATCATATGAATAATTTAAAATTTTCAATCTTACTTGACGGAATACATAACTGTCATTTATAAACATACCACCATTTTTCTCAAATGTAAAATTATAATTAAAAAAAATCAAATGATATATAAGTGAAATAGTTAAATGATGTTTATTTTTATGAGTTGTTTTAATAAATTTTATTTGAGTTCATAAGCATATCAATATGTCTCTATAACTCTTCATTGGCATTTTCTTTTGTGAAAATTTTCTTTGTATTGTTTTTTTATAAGGCTTTTGTGACGAAATTTAAGAGTATGTTTGCTTTGGTGATATAAAATTTTTATTTGGTATTTTTGTTTTTAAAGATATTTCTCAGAATTATAAGCTCGTCTTTTAACGAAGAAGGAAAAAACATTAAGGTATAATGAGAAAAGTTATCCACAATTACAAATTCATAATAATTATCATCTAAACTCATGGTTTTGGTTGGGGTCAAAATGTCCATGTGTAAAAGTTATAAAAACCTATTTATAGATGTTATATTTTTTAATTAAAATTGGTATTTACTTATTTACTTTTTTGACACATTGTCAAATTGTAAAAGCTCAATCACATTAGGCCCAATTAGTTAGTTAGAGTATTTTTCATTTATTCTCATAATTGATTAGTCTATATATTGACACTTGTATTATATGCTCAAAGTTGAGTTTTAAATAATAATATTTTTTTCGATTTCTTTTTTATGTTGAATTTGAAATGTTTTCCGTTGACACTCGTCAACATGGTGTCATAAAGAAGGAGACAACTCTAATACTCCTACCTTATTCTATTTCAACTTATCATTTATTTTATTGGTGTATTAAGATTATATTACCTTTCTTTATCTCTTATCACTGTCATTCAGTCAGGTATTTTTACACGTGTTGTCCTCACACGCTCCTTCTTGAGATTACCTTAATCTCATTTCTCACAAAATCATTTTCTCTCATATAATTTTTCACATTCTCTCTCTCTCTCTCTCTCTCTCTCTCTCTCTCTCTCTCTCTCTCCCTGTCTTCATCAACATCATTATTTTCCTCAGAAATCGAATCCATAAATCATCACTTTCATTCTTGGTAAGGCCAAATTCAACCCAGAAATCACATTTTTCTCCTTTATTTCAATTGTTTTCTTCGTCTATTTTTGGATTCATTGATTAAAAGCTCTTAAAGAAAACCCCTAAATTGTACCCAGAAATTTTCACCGTCGCCAAATTCATCTTCAACAAACCTTAATTTTTCATTCTTTCTTGTTGCTGCAACCTCTCTCCCAAAACCTCTCTTGTTTTTATTTTCTCTTCATCATGGATATCGACGACGACATTTCGTCATCTCCTAAAGATTCCATAAAATCCAAATCCCACAAGAACACTGATTCCACATTCAACAACAAAAACTTGATTAATCGATCTTCTCACCACACTTATCAACAAGACATGATTAGTCCTTTCTATATGCACCCAAGTGACAATCCAGGGTTGCCTATCATTTCTCTTTCTTTCAACAACTTCAATTTACATTCTTGGTCTCGTTCTTTGAAGCTTGCTTTAATGTCGGAAAAAAATATGGTTAATATATGAAACCCTAATTCGTCTCGATTCTTTCAATCTTAAATACATCCTTCGAAATTGTTGCAACAATATGGTGATGGCATGGATCACTATTCCATGGAAATTTTTTTTCATAAAGTGTTCTTTGGATGGATTCTCCTAAAGATATCTAGGAAGAGATTCATTAAAGATATCATTAGTGCGAAATTTTTAGAAATTCGAATCTCCAAGAAGAAATATATTCCCATAAACAAGGTGTTTAAAGTACTACATACTATTTTACTACCTTTAAGAAATTATGGCAAGAGTTCGACAACTTCTGACCTGTCCCCAACTACAAATGTGATCCCATATGTTATTGCTAATTGATTCCCACCATCAAAGCCTACCGGAACAACAGTTATGTCACAAGATTCTTGAAAGGCCATAATGATCAATATGCAACTGTGCATGCCCAAATAATGTTCATGAACCTGCTTCTTTTGGTTAACAAAGTTTTTTCCCTCCCGATACAACAAGAACAACAAATTTTCACACTCATTCCTAAAGAGAAGATGATTGCTCAAGTCAGCAAACCCTACATGAGATGACGCCCAAATGATTTTAGAAACAAAACTTCCTTTTTAAACACCTCAGCCCATTTATCACCCTTACACTGATGATCACCATGACTATTCTCCCCAACATACCAATACCATCCCTCCTACCTCACCTGCAACATCATCTCCTCATCCCACCAATTCTCTATCGCTCACTAACAATACTAACAACTTCTCTCATACCCAACCAACATCTCCCAACAACAATTAAACTCAACCCATTAATCCCCATATTGAACCTTCCACTAACCTTAGAAAGTCTTCCCGTTAAACTAAACTTCCATATTACTTAAGAGACTATCGTTGCTCCCTCCTTCCAGACCACACACCTTCTTCTCCCACCTTTAATCAAGTATTACTTCTTACCCTCTTGTTAACTTTATTTCCTATACAAATTTGTCTGCCTAACATAGACTGTTTAATTTGAATATTACCATTGTAAAAGAACCTAGCTCTTACTTTTCGGGCATTATCCAATGTGTAAAATTTATTAAAAAGATCAAATGTTTAAAATTAAAGAAAATAATAAAGTCTATGGTGGGCACTCAATTATACTACTTCACCTTAGACACTTATTATTAAAAATTAACATAATGGACTAAGTATGTAAACGAAAATAAAATTAAAGGACAATCTTTTACTATCTTGGCATCCACCAAAATCAGAGTCAATTGTGATCTCCAATTGGTTTGACCTTTTATATGTGATTATATAATCTTTCGTTCTCTTTAAATACCTTTAGGCATATGCCTTAGTCCACGGAACCAACCTCGTCAATCATCCAAGAAGTCACACATCTCTTGGTATAATTGAGCATAATGATGGTGATTGCCATTTTGAGCAACAATCATCTGATTAAATCTGGTCATTGTGGGAGCATGATTTGCG